ATCAGGTAAGTCATTATTTTTAAAGGCATAATATCTCCAAGTTGCAGAAGGACGCTTTGATAGCAGAATAAAGTACATAATCGTAAATGTTTATGCCAGTATTTCTCACTATATGATTACATTTTTATGGCTCGAGTTCTGATATGGCTTGTTTTTCCTGCCACCGCCAGAGAAATGAGACAAGCCCAGAGGTGGCATTTCTCCTTTGCTTTATGGGAAGGGAAGATGCCTGGAGGAGAGTCCTGCTCGGTTTCGTTCGGTAAACACACTGCCAAGCTAAATGGCTGATCAATCAATTTCAGTGGGATCGATCTGCATCAGTTCTGCTTGCATGCACACACCCAGAGCCACTTTATTGTAAATCAATCATTTTGAAAACATCTCACAGAGGGGCCTGTCCTCACTAACAAGCCATCAATTCCAGCTGCCTGTGTAGCAACCCTTATCGGGCCACAAATCAGCAGCCACACAAACATCTGCTCCATTTCCATCGCTTTCTCCCGCTGCCTCACTCTGTCTTTTACCCCCACCCCACTCTGTCCCCACTGCTTGTCGTGTTTTGATGGTGTGAGTGGCAAGAAGTAGACAGGAGAGGCTGCGAATCTTCACCACACCACTTAAGATAACCCAAGGGTAATAGTGTTTGCACATTTGAGAGAGAAATGAGGACAAATGCCAGGGTGGGTCGTACATTCTCCTTCTGAGCAGCTGTTTGACGTTGGAGTGTGAAATTGCACACTTTAGCTTAGGAGTGTGGAGGAGGAGGGCAGGGCTCAGAGATCTACAAGGTGTCCACTGATTTTTTTTATTTTATTTTATATATTTTATTTTCTCTGTTAGGAAGAGTGTCTGAGAAGCCCTGCTGCAACATCATAACACCTTGGAACTTGTGCTGCTCATGGTGTTTGAAGGATTCTTATAAGATCTGACACATTACCTTTGACCCAGTCAACACAGTTGTTAGTACAATCAATACACTAGATTATTTGAGTTTTACAATATGCTGTGTTACATAAAGTTTAAAAATATTTTAACTTTGGCACTGCCTCATTCTGCAGACTTTGCTTTGACATAATACAGCTCTAACATGAGGAAAAGAGGATTACTTTCTCCAGGAATCACTTTATCTGTTGGCCAAACGGATCCTGATATGACCCGCCTTCACAGCAGTGACATGACACCACAGTGAGATATCTGACATGATGTCCTTTGCTCATCTGCTCTTAGCGTTTCCATATATATATATATATATACAGTATATGAGCCAGTGTGGACAAAATGTTATTCCCACCCATCACTGTGTATCCTCACTGACTGACAGCCTGACAGGTGAACATGATGGAGCAGCTAATAGCATGTCAGAAAAGGTAAATCAAAACTAATACGGAAACCAATAGAATTGTGGATTAGGAGTGACATTTAGATGTCAAAGTCATCAACCTTGTGATACGTCTCTTCACGGGTTTGTGTCACTGTGTGTTAACAAAATATCTCATGAACCACTGAACCATTTTTAATGAAACTCTCAAAGTAGTTATTGAATGGATATCTACAACTGATCAACATTTGGAGTCAACCTGATTCATTGTTCAGTCATGGCGGGGGGTTTGAAGACAACTACGTAATTTTCACAACTCCTAGTAGTATTGCATGATGAATAAATATCTTGACCGTTTTCAGCACCAAGGTCACATTATTCAAAAGGATGACTTTTTAAACCACATCTTTCATTGAAATCCAATTCTTCTCGATTCCCTGTAAAGTGAGACCTTCCTGGATCTCACAACTTTTCACCAGTTCTGAGCTGATGGCTTGCTGGATGTGTTCCGATTTTGAAGGGAAATAAGGACTGTGCATATTTCATCCATTGCACTAAGCTATCTTGGTCAACCATTGCATCTACAATGTTCAGCATTGCTCATTTTTGTGCCTCTTCTAAAATGTTTGAACCCTCATTCTGCTTTGAACTTTGAGCCTGAGAGAGACCCTGCTGATGTAACAAAACTGCCTTGTATCTTGTTACAGTGCTTGGTCTTCCTATAACGCTTGTTCTGTGATGTGAAACTGTCTTCCAAAACCTGGCCTAGGTAGTAGTTTGGCTGCTTACAGCCAGTTTTAAGTCTCCTACACAGCTGATTAAGTTTCAGTCTCTGCGTTGCAACATATGATTATTAATACCTGCTTGACATCACTGCTTAATCACACCTGGCTTTATTCATATAAAAAAAAAAAAACTAACTTTTTGCAAGTTTGTCTAGAAAAAGTGTTACTGTTTTAAAGGCTGGTCACACCATTTAGTGATTTAAATCTTCCCCTCAGTTGACAAAGTAACAATAATCTAGCAGTTAAAAACGGGGAACTAAAAAGTATGTTTACTGTAATTTCTGGACTATAAGCCGCTACTTTTTTAACACGCTTTGGACACCGTGGCTTTTACAATGCTGCAGCTAATTTATGGATTTGGGCGGGGGGAGGGTGTGCTTATGAGCGTCATGTTGCCAAAACATTTAGCCTTGTCACACCCGGGCACACACATAACTGCCCAATACACATCTCTCTTGTGGGGTGGGTCCTTGTGACTCGATGAAACTACCTGTATAAATAAAAGTAAAAATAAATAAATAAATCAAAATCTAACCAATGAAATTACCAAACAGGTCACAGTGGACCAATGAAACTTGGTTTTATTGGTCCACTGGCGGTGGGACTCCGTTCTCTACTATCCTCCCTGTTGTACCCCTTTTTATGTGTGTGTGTGTGGGGGGGGGGGGGGGGGGGGAAACAAAGTATTTGTAGCCACTCGAAATAAGTGTGAATTATGCATTTAAAATGGCGCTCTGATCTCAGTGGGAGGCTTGGATGTCTAGCAGCGTGAAGTGCACAGTGCACAAGAGGAATATGCAGATTACAGGCACTGTTCATAAAAAATAAATATAACACTTACTGTACGTATGTGTGTATGTTATTGGTACATGCAAAGTATTTAATTAAAAGTTTAGATAAAATATTTCTGTGTAAATATTTCATGTTACAACATGGACATCTTTGGGTCGTGGCTTATAGACAACAGCGAACTATGTATGTACTTTTTTTTTTTCCTTTTTAAATTTAGTGGGTGCTGCTTATATTCAGGTGTGCTCAATATTCTGGAAATTATGGTACTTCTGCAATAGCATAAAATGAAAATGCCTACAGAAGTATGTCAATTTTTTTTAGAACAGTACAGTTACAAACACATCATTGTTAACCTACTGGTATGTATTAATATACTTTACTTGTTACTTGTAAAAATTAGTGGAAAGTGAAATGTAGTAGTAGTAGTAACAATAAAACATTGTCCTCTGAAATCAAAAGGCAGCATATCACAGTTTAGAACACAAATACATACATTTTAATTTGAGAAAATACAAAAAGAAATCATGTACAATGTATGTACAAACGTTTTGTACAAGACAGTATTTTTTATCAGCAGATTATATTTGACAGAGTCAGGTAGTTCAACTCAGCACCATCAAATATGATCTAAAACATGTCCAAACTAGTTACAGTGCTATGTCAAACTCCTGTATGTTATAATGGCAATATGCCAACAAAATTGATCTGTGACAACTGACAGCAATATCCTGATATCTTTCTGAACTGATAGGCAAAAAAAGCAAGCTTTCTTAAACAAAATTGCTGAATGCAATTGCAGTGTTAAGACTTGAGACCCACCAATCCCCAAAAGTGTTACAAGTCCCAGTTCAAACTAACTTTTACAGAAATAAAAATACAAAAGTTATTAAAAATGCACTGTTTTATAACAGTAACATATGACTCATAATCTTTGATTTTTTTTTTTTCTTGTGAAAAACAACAGATGTTCCGGACGTGGGCGTCTATTTGCATCTTTCAGTCATTCATCTCTCATGAAACTGCACATCTTAACCTGATAACCTGTTATCAAGTACACAGCAGAGACAATATGTGAAACGTGGTGACTGGGACATCTACCTGCCCCAGCATCTCCCTCAGGCCTCCAGAATGCCACTTGTCGCTTTAGTGGGACTTACTTTGGGCCCTCCTCTTGACCTCCTGCACTGCCTGGCACTATACTGGCATGGAGGCATTGATGGCTTGGATGTTCTCCATGTCAGTACAAGACACTGTTTTCACAGTGGAAAACACTTGGACTCAGTTCATTTGGTGTCACTGAATGACTGAAGGATGCTTGTTCAACCTAATGCTTCATGGCACTTTAAAAACACTCTAAAAACTTTAGAGGTACACAATACAAAGACAGAAACTATTAGCGGTTCAAAAGATGTATGGAGAAGGGAACTCTCAGTTCAGTGTTGTGACATTGCCAGCCTGAATGAGTTGCACAGGTAGAAAACACAGTAAAGTATTCAAAAATAAATGATCTAATCATTTTTGTGTTGCCAGTTTAGAGTATTATATCTGAGCAATGTTATGCGTCTTAAAAGTACCGTGTAAACAAATAAGAAGCAATTGTGACATTTCATGACAGATAATAACAAGCCGACAAAATGGAATGTAAACTCTGTAATAAAACAAAGTAATACACTAGAAAACTAAGGATGTTCTCTCTTAAAACAACTGCTGAATTGGTACTACCTTCCATCTTTGTGCTGGTTGTTAAAACACAATTTTGCTTGTGCCACATAAAGTACTTGAATAGTTTCTGTTTTACAAGAATCAAAGATTTTGAGATACAAGTTTGACTTTTTTTTTTTCAATGAAACAATCAGTTCGGTCTACAATGAGTCATTGTCACTATCAGATATTATTAATTTCTTGTTGTTCAGGCTAGCGAGTATGCCATAAACAACTCCAATTATACAATTATTTTTCTCACATATTTTCTGAAAAGAAAACTATTTGCTACAGTGTGTGACAACGATGTAATCACAGTTCAAAAGTTCACGTCAAGACAATGTGTATGAAGCTTCAGTATATTTGCACCACACCCAGTAGACGGACATTAAAGCTCAGATCATTTTTGTTTGAGAAAGAAATGTGGTCTATATAATGGACTGAGATACACAAACATATTTAGCACAATATAATTCTTTCCATATTCCAAAATGGTTTTCTATTTTCAGTTACTTTTCCTTTACAGTCTACGAAGGAGTATCACTGTGATCGACAAACAGTGTCTCCGTACTAAAATGAAATCTTTTTCATATTATTTTCTGTGAAAAACACAAGCACACTGTGCTGTGGTGTACACACACTTGTTCCATACTAATGACCTAATTTAGGTCAAACACATCTAAAGAAGGCCAAGTCGGTTCTGGCCTGCACACAGTGGGATAAACTTCATATGATTTGAGTCATCCTTACCGTTCTGATCTACTCTTCAATTGGATACAGGTTTTACCCCCATAAAAACCCATTTCTCCACAATTCCATAGAAGTGCTCACAGCTAGGAACCCTTAATAGTTAGTACGCTGTTTAGTAGACACTGCATCTGTGCAACTTCTCAAGGTTTCAGGCGACCCCAAGTTTATTTCTGCAAGCACTTAAAGCCGAGCTGCCACGCTGAGGATGGTAGTTTCACAATGCAAGCTAGTCGGAGCTTTAATAGCTCCAGAGTGACGCTGATTGTTAATAAAGGGCCTGGGGGTGGGGTTTCAAAAAGAAAAAACAATTTGCTTTATTACATTGCAAAATAAATAGTGATATTTTGAAACAAGAACATGAATGATTTGATATGTTACTTTAATTAAAGATATTCAGTCTTTATCTTCTAAAGTACTTTCTTTATTATAAAAATAAGTACAAAATGAATATGTTTATGAATATAAAATAATGTTTAAATATATCAATTTAACTACATATTTTTAAGTTCATTTTATATTAACTAGATTTGGATCTATTGGAGCCACAACTGGTGCAAAATATACTTTTACTGCACATAGGCAGGCATGAAGAACACGCGTGCATTTTCAGTGTTCTTAATTGTGTTCTGTGGCATTGTTGCATTACCACCAACTATGCTTGAGCATGTCCCCATGTTAGTGGACTGAACACAGCTGCTTAACTCCTGAGAGTTTTGAGGCGTATGACATCTGGATTGGCAACAGAGAACATCCAAGCTCTTAACTGCCTCTGTGCCAACCCTGTGCCAGGCAGTTGCTCCATTCAAAGGAGGACCCATGTATGCCCACTATAAGCAATATGTGGCATTCCCTTCCTCAGACAGGAAGTTGAGGTAAAACACGAAACATTCAGAAGATGCAGGACTCTTCCTTTTGATCCCGATCCTGCCGCAGATATGACGGCAATGAGTTCAGGATGAGCATGCAGCTGGTGTTCATGTCAGATCAGCTCAGTCATAGTTGGGGGATTTAGGTTTCTCTTAAAATGCAACTTAATTGTTTTGAAGATCCAAATCTTTTAGACTCTTGTTGTTTGTTTCTACCACAACTCATATTTTTAGCACTGAGATCCCACATGCTGCCCTCTTCAAGCTGCACCAGCACATACAAACTGGCGAGGTGGGTACTTTACAGTGACAGGCGCAACACAAGAGGAAAAAGTGACTGAGTTACATACACACGTGGCATGTACATATACACTCCTGAATGCATGGACTGGACACATCGTTTATCGTCTTGATCATGTTTTCAGGCCAATTGCTCACATTGTACTGGATGTGTTGTAAATGGGGTTCGAGCACATATCATGCAAGGTTAAAACTGAGTCTAAGCCTCACTATCCACAAAAGACGTGAGTACTGTATTGCCTTTGTTGAAGCATGAACCTACATTGCACTATTCTTTGTTATTATATTACTGTTTGCAAGGTCATTTAGTTTTGCAAGCCTGTAATTCTTTCATTCAAACCACTGGATGCAAATGAGCAAACCTTAAGCAGTGACACAATGGACAGCAATCAAAAACAATTTTAGAATCCTTCCACAACATAGCATCCCTTTCTTCCTGCTTTCTGTCTTCCTTCCATCTCTTTCTGATCTCCCCCAAAACACATTATCAGGGGTTGATGTCTCTAGTTCCATCCCAAAAAAAAGAAAAAAACTTTTCAGTTTTAGTGCAAATAGAACAGAAGCTGACAGAAGATCTTATGTCAATGAACCCAGCTGGTTTTATGTGACACATCCGAGAGGATTTTGGGGAGATGGTATGATCAGTTTACAGCTGTAACCCTACCCTCCAACAACAGCCACTTAATCCATGGCATCTGGTCTCATGAAGAGGTGAACTATTGCAAAGAATAACAGGAAGTACATTTTGTCAACTCTTAAAGTAATTCCAAAAAAAAAAAAAAAATGCTAGGGGAAGGGGCTGTACAGTTCTTAATTGATTGTCATTATGTACATCTCTATGAATACATTTATAAATTAAAGAATGTCCAAAGCTTGGAAGTAAGATTTAAGGTATGCACACAGGAGGTCACGTCCAGTCTAGGTTTCCAACTTAATCCTTGATTGGAAGAATGAGTGAAGAGAAACGTTGTCTTCAATGTCTATATCGATATCACCATCACTTCTCCACTGGTGATCTCTGCCCATGTCCTTAGACAGAGATCTCACAGATTTCTGGTGTCAGCAAGAAAAGCAGGAGTTCAGCATTCATCTTCAACTTCTCTGATCGGTGGAATCAGGCTACTAGTAGATTTGTATTGGTTGACTTGGTTGGCCATGTGAGTGCTCATGGGCTTGATCTGAATGTTCCTTGGGTAGGCATTTTCAGGTTCATCTGTAAACCATTTCTTTTCTAAAAAGGAACAAGGCAAGAGAGAAAGAAAACAATGAGTTAGCTTGAAAAGGTTTGTAACATAAACCATTCACAACCATAAAACCTCAGTTTAAGGGACTTTAATATTTGCACGGCATCTTTTTGGATAGTCTCACATTGTGAGGTCTGGGCTCTGGTGCAATGAAATCAGACGCCCACTCAAAATTAAAAAGACACTTTCAATGCAAGTTTCTATGAGCATTTATATGATTTGTTGGAATTCCTGTTTTATGATCATAATTTATTTATTTTGAGACATTCAACTATGTCAGATTTATGTTTGAACCAAAATATATTGTTTAAGGAAGAATAGAAATCAGAATGTTTCCTTACGATAAAACTATATGCATTTTATATGCTTTTAATGAGCCTTCTCTCAATCTAAAGGAAGAGACTGTGTTAAGGTGAAGACTATGCACATTCTATTCATCGACCTAACTATTGATGGTAAAATACTTCATGCAAAGTCATTTCAAAGCACATACAACGCCATTTGTCTGCAGTAAAAAAAAAAAAAGAAAGCGAATGTTGGAAAGTAGTTTAACTTAAGCTAAACATTTCATGTTTACATAGTGGTAGATGAACTTGTTCATTTTGCTGGCTGTTCAAATGCATAAAATATTTTAAACGCAAGCCAATTAAGAGCTTGATGATTATTTACACTTTTAAATCCTGCTGGTCACACACACCTTGCATCATCACTATATCTAGCCCTGATGCCAGGTCTCTCTTACACACACGGTTACACAATTTCAGCTACATGACTATATGTACACTCCTTGCCAGATCAGAGGTATATTATCGGTGAATCAAATTCAAACTTCACCATGGCCATTTAAAACATGATACTAAGCTTGATACCACTGCACATTTGTACATCTCCAAATGGTTATTTTTTCGAGTCACCCTGATTCAAGATGGCTGCCACAGATAATCTTCTTAGCAAACACAAAAACTGATATTGTTCAGTCATTTACGCAAAGAGTTTCTAATTGTGGCGTATTAGAAAATATTTTGTTTAGGGGTTTGTTAAATCAAAATTCCCACAGAATATAAAAACACGTTTGTTATTTCAAGTTGTGCCTGTTCTGCAGTATACCTGCAGTGCACTAACAACACTAAACTTTCAGTCACAGAGCAACCATAAATAGAACATTTCATGCAATAATCTGTCCCAATGTTGATATTTAAAACATTTTATGCAACTGCACTGTCATATATGTGTACAAATGACTTTGCATTTAGATATTTTATGGGTCATTAAAAAACAGTCACAAATTTGGATCTTGAAACTTGCTCAAGAAAATGAAAAATGCTTATCTATTACACAGTTAGTATAAGCTATTTTAGAACATTAATTATTAGTTAATTATTCATTAGTGTTTAATCATTAATAACAAATTTAAACTAGTCATTGGTTCTTTGGGTTGTGTAGCTTCTAGGATAATGATTTACAGAGTGTATAATTTCCTTGACAGTCATATGCCGGTGTAGATTCACAGTCGTTCACGACATGACAGAAAACAAACTTAGTTGAGCAAAATATGTTCAACTACAGAACTGAAGTTCAGGTTTTGGTTGTTTTTTTTTACACTTTTGGATCAAGACAGTATTTGATCACTGTCAACTTTAGAGCAGGAATGAGATCTGGCAGGTTGGATGGGCCATTTCTGGGAAAATCTCTTCATATTTAAAAAAGGCTGCTCAAACACAGTTTCTGAGAAAAGGGACGGGTGTATGCCAAATATCAGAAGTTTATAAACTCTCTCCCCACCCTTCAAGTCTATCAATGCCATTCAGTATGTCACTTTTAGAGTGAAGTTGTAACATCAAGTTTTAACTTTGCTATGTGGAGCAAACCTTATGTGTGTGTGTGTGTGTGGAGTGCATAGGAACTTGCATGTGTGAAGACTCATTTGTGTGTATGGAAGGTGTGTGTGTGTGGGGGTGGGTGGGTGGGTGGGGGGGGGGGGGTGTCAGCAAGCTTAAGGCTGCAGGGCTGTGTGTTAGAGCACAGGCATTTGATGTGTAGAATTGTGCCTCAGGTGAAGCAAGATGTCTGCCATCTCTCTCCGGAGTCTGCTGCTGATACGGTGAACTTGGTGATGTCGCCTCTAACCATCATATCAGGCGCACAGGGTTACAAGGAGGGAACTTACACACTCATATCCCATTTTAATATAAACTTTAAATTGGTCACACCTCCCACTTTCTTGGTGTGACCGATGGCACAGGGCTGGACACACTTTTCTAAAGTTCTGTGAAGAAGTAAGAAATTGGGCTGCATCAGGAGGATTTGAATGAGTCTGACCTACATGTGAGTTAAGATTTGGGTTTGTACAGTTGGAAAACGTGTTACTCTGCGCTCTATACTAGTAAACTTTACTTTACAAGAACACAAGTCTGACATCAAGTGTGCTACAGTCGTCTGAAAGCATTCAACAGGGAGGGAAAATGCATAAACACACAAACCTCTCACACAATGCAAACCATCTCAAGTAAATAAAAAAGGCATGATAAATAATGAAAAGAAAAATATGTGATTTTTTTTTCCCATAGGAACAGAAAACAGATCATTAGGTAAAGCAACTAAATGCACAAAGAAACTGGGGTGGTGGGGGTGGGGTGTCTCAGCCTCATGCAAGATGTGCCTTATCATGGCAAGTAGGAGGGAAGAGCAGCAGCAGACATTTTGCTTTCCAAACAAAAGCAAAACTTAAACTGAGGCATGGTTTACTTCATATCTTAAGGATAAAATAAATCAAACAAACTCCCCTTGTCATAACAATATCCACAGGAGACATAGTTATGAGAACCCCCAGGTAAATGTTGCTAAGTCATGCAGAATCGTTAACTTGCATACCTTGGCTCATTCTATTCATCCTTGTTGCACTTCAAAAAGAGAGGTAAGTAATCTACTGTAAGTGAGTAGTGGTTACAGTCAATACACACCTGACAAATAGTCTATTTAAAACTGCATAGAGTTACTACAGTATTTAGGCAATAAATACATTCTAATTTTAAGAAGTCCTTAAGGTTTATCATCTGCCGTTTTACAGTTCCTGAGTCCAGCTGTAACAAATCTGCATGCTTTCAAGAAAAGTCACAAGTTCAAAATTACTGTAATCTCCCAACTCAAAAGTTAATGGAAAGTTAAGGAGGGAGACACGACGCAAAAGTCAAAGCGTTTCACTAAAGTAAAAAAAAAAAAAAAAAATTGTAACAGTGCAATAAACAGAACATGTAATTAGAATCTGCTTAACAGAACATGCAGAAAAAGAAGCACTACAGATGCACAACACATCTAACGACCGGTGTTTTTATGAGTAGCAGTGTATTAAAAAGCCCCATTTGCTTCATTACCACAGTAAATAAATCACAATACGTTACGTCCATGATCTAGGCACTGATCATGAGCACAAATATCCAACAAACAACGGTTACTTCACAATACTACCATTTAGACACAAACGGCTACACATTAAGACAGAAACGATAGGTAGACCAAACAACATACTAAATGTGTGTTACGTTTTGACAAAAAGCTTGTTTCTATGCCACCCAAACAACAAGTTTAATGGTACACAATGCCAAGAATTCACAAGATAAAAGTTTAATAAACAAGCCTAGATATTACTGGTTTGCTGATATCCTATTATGGTTGATGTGATGTTAGAGCAAAGACCACATGCAGATGATTATAAAATTATAAAATTAAAAATAAACACTTGGCATGGACACAAAGCACAAGCCACGCAATACACAGTAATTATCATCGCATGTGTAGTCACAGTCCGCACACAAAGACACACCTATACACAAAACACATTAGGTGTAAACCTCCGATCATGCACACTAATCCAACACAGGATATGCAAGTGCACGTACTTCTGTTTGTCACGGGCCTCCCTGCTCTTACTGCTGCGGTTCTGCCTGTTGGAGGGGGGTACGGAGTGCACAGAGGAGCTCTTTTTGCTGGAGGAATGGGAGGAGTGGGAGGAGTGGGATAAGCTTGTCCTTGACTGGCCAGCATTGTGGTCAAACTGCATGAGGCAGAAGATCAAGTCTGTCGGCACGAGCTCAAACTCATACGGGGGATTTGTGATCACATATCTGGAAAAAAAGAGCAGGAAAGTGGCAACTTTGAATGCATTACTCATTTAAGAGAAGTAAAGTGTGTTGCGTTAGCCGCGACCCTACCGTTTTGTGCATTGGCTTGGCATGCTGAGATGAGCATCTCGTAGTCTGTAGATTCCAAAACACAGCATGTTGTACGTCTTCAATGCTTTACAGAATAAATCCCCGTAGCAGCCGCCATCCTGAGGAACAGCAGAACAAAGGCAGCGCCGGCGCGTTAGCTCGTCTTACTGTGGTGAACTCACTTTCTGCCTATAACAAGAAGTTTATGTAAAGCTGTATGAAAATTAATGTGTTCTGCATCTGCTTTCCTTTTATGTGAGCGCATAACGCTGGCACTGGAGACTGCGGCAATTAGCCGCGTCACATTTTATCCTAGAAAACAAAAAAGTTGCTCTATAGGTCTGGTTATGTATAACCAACAAAACAGAAAGAAACCCCTTCAAAGTGTTTTCCACCTACTGAGTCTTCCGTGACATGACTGCTGTTGGATTAAGAAACGCAGTGAGCAGAGGCAGCCAAGATGCACGAAGCTGGGAATTGCCAAAATGTGCTCCTTTCACTTAATCATTCACCTACCCCCAAGTCAGCAAACGGGCCATCGTAGAGGGCTAGCTGGGCAACGCGACACCTGTCTCTGTTAGCCAGTGTCTGTGGCGTGCTGTAACCTCCTCTGAGAGCGTTCTCCTCAGCTAACAGAGCCTCCAGCTCTGGCGTGGCTCCCCCTGTGACGAGTGTCCGGATTAGTGTGAGGATGTTGTCGTTGAAGTACGTCTGAGGAGAACACAGATAGGATTTCTGTTCAAAGATGCACTTGAAGTCACAGCCAGGATGATATAAGATGAGTAACACAAACGGGCAGTGAGTTAAATTGACCTTTGTGACGCTCACTTGGAGCTGAATTGGAAATTTAAAAAAAAAAAGTCTGGCTTGACTGTGCTTGTACTTTATGCTTGGGTCATCTTATAATGTACATACAGTAGAAATATTATTTATAGAGATGTAATAGAACTCAAAACTTCACAAATTCATTTATACATATTTTAGCCTATATTAATATCTAAACAAGTGTTCAGTATAACACCTCTAACAAAAATTAGATCAAGGATTGCGTAAACAATTTGGCCATCCTCTCCTATTTGGGTGACTTACTGATTAATTTATCCTAAATATATATTTAAAAAAAAAAACATGGTTTCATATTTTTAATTACACATTTTACACCACTTTTCATAGGTTGACATAATTTCCTTGAGCCTGGGTGTAAAAACTTTGACATGCATTGGTCAAACTTTGTTTTTTGTGCTGCTTTTGTCAATGCTTGTATACATTCTCTTGTGGTATTCAACCTGAAAGTTTTATTTTGTTTACTTGTTTGTTTTGGTCACTATCAATAAGTTCAGCAAAACAGTTTAGGTTCTTAATTTTAGCTTTTTAAAACCATGCTAGGAACGACAGGTTGCATTTTCAAATGTCATTAATAAATAAACATGCATATATATCACAGTCAATAATCTCAGGTTTAAGTTTTCCAGCTTTTACGCGTATAATCTGAGTTTATTTTGTTTCAGTTGATTAAATAAAACAGACAAAGTTAAACCAGCGTCATTCTTTTTGCTGAACACAAAAGCAGAACGCCTGCCTTCTACTTCTGAGACAACATTTTGACTGCGCTCTCGGGGTGTCACGTTCTCTTGTCCTTCAAGCTGTTCGGGGCCCGCTTGTCCCTGGTACAAAGACAGCCCATGTCACTCGGCAGCCGGGCCAGAATGGCAGCGCCTCTCCCTGGGCCCCTGACAGGCCTGCGGAGCCTCATGATGGATGAGCAGTGTACATTAGCTGGCTTCACCTCTGACCGGAGCTGGACTACAGCTGACGCCTGCGCTGCTCCCCATGCAGCTCAGCACTGCACGCACCTCTAACCTCTCATTCAAGAAGAAGACTTCAGGAATTAAGCCATCACATCAACAAAGGAGAGGAAAAAATGCATTTGTCATGAGCAGGGGGTGAGAAAAGGCTTCTAGAAAACTGATTTTAATTTATCCCCTTTAGCTCATCTTCAGTGAAGTGATGACGTTGTTGATAGATGAAGCACTCCTTATGCTAACCTTGAACATTTACTCTATTTAAAGATCGAAAAAGCCTCTTGAATGTCATACTCATACAACTGAAGATTATGTGTTGGCAGGCAAATTCAATTGACATTCTGTGCAATTAAATGTAACATTCTACATTTACATAAATGCACCAAAAAAAAGTGCATCTACTGAAACATATTGTAAAATTCAAATCATTTAGTTTACTGAAGCAGCAAAGTCTCCAATGTTTGTAATTTTATATGATTTTTAAGGATAAGATCACATTTTTGAGTAATTTAAGCTTTTTTTATTTTAATGGATGGTCACATGACTTTATTTAATTTATCATTTATTTTATGTTTATTTTTTATTTTATTTATTATTTAATTGTATTTTTATCATTTATTTATTTTAATGCATTTTATATTTTATTATACTTAATTAATTTTTGTATTTTTATATTTATTTTATTATTTTTTGCTTTATTTTATTTTTTTTATTCTTATTTACCAGACAAGTTGGACAAAAAAGAAAATTTAAATAATTTGTGTCCAAATAACTGAGTCTGAATCACTTTAAAGCTGCTGGCAGGTAATAAAAATGATAAAATATATGCTGTGAGATGTTTTTTTTTTTTTTAACACAAGTTTGTAGTCTGTTCAAAACCTTACCGCACTCATCAGGGAGTCCAGTACACTGACAGCAAAGGCAGTGCCGCAGGCGAAGGGTTGAGTGAGGTACAGCTCTGTGTCTGGATCATCGTCATCATCTTGGTCCAGGAACTGAACGTTTGAGTCATTCACTGGGGGAGGGGGGGGGGGGGGGACACAGCTGAGTTAGAGAAGGCCATTGTGATGGTGGCACCTACACATACTGTACCTTACAGTTTTGAAATGTGCAATATTTGTATTGTAAATATAATAATATTAATACATTTTGTCTATCTTGAGTTATATTTTATTAATTTATCATAATTATGTAAAAGGAAAGTCTCAAATATAGAACTATTGATTTGGGTTTGTATTAAAATGTAACATCTGCAACTGCTTTAACTTTTTAATATTAAATTGGATAATTTTTTCTTCACACAATTTACTTTTATTTTAAATGTCTTAAACAATCATAAATTCCCAATGGGGGCAAAAACAAACCAGATATTTTATGTGTACTGAACATTTTTTGTTTATGTGTATTGTCTTATTGACTTGTTTTTATTTGGTCTTGAACATCACAGTAAAAATGACATTTTAAACATGCAGGATGTATTTCACACAGATACAGGAACAATAGTATTTTGGAGAAGTCACCTATTTTAAAGACTTTGTAGACATGTAGTTTGTTCAGTGCTTACAATATATAAGTTACTCATTCTGTATCAACATCTTTAAAATAAATACAGATGTTGGATCACCATGCATTTACAAACTCATGCTTTGATTTCCAGTTTCCCTTCATAATGTGTCTGTCACATCATTACTGCAGAAAAAACTTTAGATTTTTACCTGTGTGCTGAAAATCGAATAAAATAACATCACTTGAAAATGCAAAAAAATACTCAAGTCTTTGACGTGTACAATGTCCACACTTCACAGACAATATAAGGAGGAGAATAAAAAAAAACAACAGAAGTTGTATTAATGTTTTTGTTGTTTTATTGCCGGACTCCAGTGAGCTGTAGAAGAGAAATGTCAATCAGACAAGGGACTGATGCAAACGGGCCTCGGCCACAGGAGTTAAGCAGGAGGGCGAAAGAGAAAGTAGGGGTGTTTTTGAGCGGGCAAGTGTTTTTTAGAGGAGAGGAGGAAGGGTGAGGTGAAGAGGAGCGTGCCGCTATATGAAAACAGCCACAAGAACAGAGTGCGCGTGATCAAATCCCTAGTGATGCTCTGCAAACACAAAAAAGAAAAACGAAACAAATTCCCCCCAAAACTTTCCATTCAAAGTGTCCTGCATGAAGACAGTCCATTTCAACCAGAACGACAAATAAAACTGTGCTCGAAGTGAAGCCATGGGAACAGCGAGGGCCTTGACTGCAGCCAGATAAATCGAGACAAGCTGATAAGGAGCTGCGCGGAGCGAGGGAACCAACGGCAGCACACGACAGAGGCTCAGCTTACCCAGCTCTGTTATCATTTGTACGTTGGTTCCACTTTTTGTTTCCTGACTGAGTGAAACCAACGGCAGTAGTTTGCCAGGTTTAGCTAATGGTGATGAAACTGTGGAGTGGGGCAGAAATGGCGTTATTGAAACAGTTTCAAAGGGCATTTTGCTGTCTGAACACTCGTGTCGATTCCAGGATCGCTCTCTGAAACGCTCACGGTTGTCCTGTGCCTAAAAGTAAAGCACTCTGGATTAAAGAGCAGCCGTGTCACGGCGCTAACCAATTACAACCACAATAAATCGTGTCAGGGTAACAGTACACGGGATAAACAAGGTCTTATTCATAAACAAACCCACTTCACACTCCATGCAAAATAAAAATAAATCAATCATGCAACTCTGGTGTGGAGTGTTTTTACGTTTCATCTTGGCAAGATTCTGCTGCTGGCACTCTAACCTTGAACAAACGACACTGTAATTACAGTACGTGGTACCAGTATGACATGAAGCCTACCTCATCTGCATGCTTTCGCCCATTCCTTTTCTGAGGGACAATGCTATCACATCTGGTGTAGCTGCTATGTGAAATGGCTGGCTGACAGCATGCAAAGCCACAGTTCTGGTGCTGGGACAATAAGTCCAACTGGCTTTGACGATTACACATGTGGTCAGCAGTGTAATGGGAGAGCCTCCATTCAGGTAATGGCTGGCACGAGCGCAGCTAACATTAGGTGGCTCCTTTTTCTTTCTGGTCTTTCCTTAGCTGGTCTCATGCTCCATTGCTCTCTAATTGGGTCAGGGGAGACAAAGTAGCTGGTCTCTGGTGCTTTACAAGGCCCCTCAGAGATCTGAAAGTTTCATGAGGCCCCATCACCATTGGGAATACAAGCGGTGACATTGTTATTAATAAATGGACCAATTTTGCAACCAAGGCACTTTTTTTTTTGCTTCTACCTTTTTTCCCCTCTCTCACCCTCTCCATCGGGCTGAGTTTCTCTTATCCATTAATGGACAAATTGCAGGAGATGGAGCTTTTGTCCTAAAAGTGCCTGTCTGACATCCTCAAATTGACTCGTCACTTGACAACAACTAGTCAGATAAGAACTTGAGGTGGCCAATGTCAAGAAATTGAACTAAAAGTCATGTCAGAGTGGAGCTTGTGGTAGCTGACTGAGGTCTTGGAGTGTCAGCTTGATGTCTGAAAAGACCTATGAGTTAGTTACTGGGTATGGCATGCACTGTTTACATAGGAGGTGGGTGGAAACAGTTTTACCGAGTTCAGTGATGATGGGGATGTTGGATCCGGTGGTTACTGATGCCTGACGAACGAAGCCATGTACTGGACTGCTGTCTGGAGATGTCCTGTCCATTCCGGGAGGTGTGAAACCTGAAGCCAACAAGAAAACAAAGATACGACACAATGAAGTCAGTAAATGAAAGAAGAAGGCAACGTCAGGGGATGCTCTTTAAAAAAATGCTGAAAAGCAAACTGTGTTGCACATGTAAATATAAATTGTACTTTACCTGCAAAGTGATCAGTATTGTAACTGTATTTACAGCACGGAGTAGGTTTTTTTAGACACTTTTACAGTTAATTTAATTTTTTAAGCAATTTCCTCCGTAGATATTTTGTTAAAACTTTATATGTATACTGTAAGATAGATAGATAGATAGATAGATAGATAGATAGATAGATAGATAGATAGATAGATAGATAGATAGATAGATAGATAGATAGAT